TGTATGTATTTAGGTAATCGACTCCTTTGGACTTAATTTTGATTCACTTTAAAAGGACCGTTTTAATCGAAATTTGGCAGGTATAATTTGTAGGACAAAAAAAAAAACAAAATGGCTGCTTCGAAATGGCAGTCGAGTTTTGTAATTATGATCCGATTCTTTTCAAAATTGACTTCTGGGGGTTTTCGAAGTCAGAAATTATGATCCTTTCGTCAAAATTGGAAAATTCAAGATGACGAATCCAATATATGCCAGACCAGTTTTATAATTATGAGCCGAACAAAAAAAAAAAGAAAATAAATGGGAGTTTGAAAAACTAAAGAAACACCATTTGATTAACAGACAAAATAAAAAGAAGTAAAAAATAAATTGACAAATGCACAATATAGAGTACTGATTACGGAGATATTTTCTATATATGTTGTGTCGTATTTATCAACACACTTGTATTAATATAACTCATGGGTTCTTATGGAAAATGCCATGAATATGAATTTTCAGAATGAGTGTGATACACAGTTAGGAGATTAGAAGCTCTCAAAATCCATAATAAAAAATATAGGGTCGTAATTGAAAAAAGAAAGTTGATAATGGCAACTCAAAGACGAAACGTCGGTTTGAGAATCTGATAACAATATCTTGTAGAACAGAAAAAGTTGCAATGAGAATGTGTAATTTGGTTTGTTACATCTATTCAAATAGAGCCATAAAGAAATGAAAAAATGAAATCGCGAATATACGTGTTTTCCAAAAATCTTTCTGGAAGTATTCGAAATTTTTCTAATTTCGAAACGACATTTTGTTAGGCACCAGAAATTGCCCACATTGTACATACTACTAATGTTCTTTCGAAAAGACAATGACTGTTGATATTTTTGGGACATCCTGTACACGATTTTCTAGAAGAGACGCACCTACACGTATATAGGTATATCAAGACACTATGAAAATACACAAGAACTTTGCTCCATTTTTCCATGAACAGCAAAATATATTTATTTAGCAATCATTTACTGTAATTTAGTAGTCATCCCGATAAATATTTATGATTTGAATGAGAGTCGTAAATCCGCGATGTTTTGTTCGAGCTTTTTTCAGTCTTCATAATTCAAATGTTTGTTGATACCTGCTCTAGTGCGGTATATACACAGTCGATCAGAGATGCGAACTGATGAGAGAAAGTTCTATACACTAAAACGAATTCCAGTCGAAGAAAAATTGCTATCGATATACTTAATTGATAGTGTATCGATTTGCGTCGCTCAATTTATATTAAATTATTAGTTAAAGTAGGTTACTATAATACCCATATAGCACACGATTACTTGATAAATAGTCTCAAGAAGACGTTCTATTTTCTTCATCCTAAAAATAATTCATGTTACTTACTTACGCACTTGATATTTGACCTATCTTCTTGAAAAAAAAAAGTAGGCTGATTTTTTTTTATCTGTTGGTAGGCAATGCATTTGTCTTTGAAAAAAATAAGGAGGTGAAAATTTTTCCAAAGCCTCCTTGATGGAGTGGTGGAATAACTCGAACTATGATTTATTCTTAATTTTTGACTCACCCTGTGTGTTAATTGAGTAATGGTTTACAAAGTGCTTACACCCTATACGAAAGAGGCTTCTTTTACGAGCATTTTGTTTTTTATTCATTGATTTATCTCTAGAATTTTCCGAATTACAGCTTTTTTTGCTGATACCTTACGCTTGGTAGGATCACATTGTCTTTAAAAAAACAAATGCCGTTGCCATAGCAACTAATTTGTTGTATGCCTCCATATTTGACCATTTGTCGTTGTGTCATTAATTAAGTGTCTTGTTTTATTGACTAAAATTACATAAAATGCCTCAAATAAATCCTGAACAAGTAGCAAGATTGGTTGCGTTAGTAAACGATGGGCGTAGTAAACGTTACGCCGCTCGTGCAGTGGGAGTTCATGAAGCAACTGCTCGTAGAGCAATCTGCAAGTACGAACAAACAGGAAGCACCGCTCGGAGGGTCGGTTCTGGTCGATCCGAAAAACTTCTCCGAGAGATGATCGCTTCTTGAGATTGCGGATTTTACGGAATCGATCAAATACTGCGGTAAATGTTCAGCAAGATCTTCGCCAAATTCGTGATGTTGCAGTAAGTAAGCAGACGGTACGTAGACGTCTAAAAGAAGTTAATTTAAAAGCTAGGAGACCTGCAAAAGGTCCCAAATTATTGCCCGAACATCGTGCTGCTAGAAGAAATATTGTTGAAAATTATGGACAGTGGAATATTCCTGAATGGTCGAAGTTTTGCCTAAACATGGTGGATGGAAGAAAAAGAGTGTGGAGAAGAACTGGTGAACGGTTTAATCAAAATTTAATAACTGAATGCGAAAGTTTTAATGGTGGGTCCGTTATATGGTATGGGGAGGGATTTCAATGAATGGAAAGACACCCCTTCATGTTTTTCCGGTGAGGCAGTCGATGAATGCCCAAATTTACATTGACATTTTAGAGCAGTATGTCTTACTTTATGCAGAGTTAGTGGGCAATAATTTTATATTGATGCAGGATAATGCCCGACCACACACCACAGCAATAGTGCGAAACTTCTTAGAAGCTACTGGTATTACCACATTACAATGGCCTGCGAGAAGCCCCGATATGAATCCTATAGAACATTTGTGGGATGAATTAGGGAGAAGGATACGTTCTCGCGAGAGCTATCCGGAAAGTCTCGCAGAAATGGCAGATGCATTAGTGGAAGAATGAGATCGTATACCAATGGAAACGATAAGCAACTTAATTTTTAGTATGCCTCGTAGATTAGAGATTCTTAGAGTTGCTAGAGGAGGCAATACACGGTATCAGTCATCCCAATTCATAATTTTGTGTTCAATAAAAATGTTTTTTAAAATTATTGGCATCATGCAGTTTATTTCATTAGAAAATTGTTTCTCGATAAATTCAGCAAAAAAGCTGTAATTCGGAAAATTTTAGAGATAAATCAATGAATAAAGAAACGAAGCCTTTTTCGTATAGGATGCAAGCACTTTCTATGCCATTACTCAATTAACACACAGGGTAAGTCAAAAATTAAGAATAAATCATGGTTCGAGTTATTCCACCACCATCAAGGAGGCTTTGAAAAAAATGTTCACCTCTTTATTTTTTTCCAAAGACAAATGCATCACCTACCAACAAATAATAAAAAAAAAACGGTCTACTATTTTATTTTTAAGAAGAAAGGTCAAATATCAAGTGCGTCACTTTTTTCGGAACTGAGTGTAGTAGGATAAACCAGATGATTTGCGCCAAAATGTCAACGCGTTTGACACATTTTTTTCCAGCAACAGTCCGGGAAGTGCTCACTACACTACACAGCGGAGTTCGAATTTTTCTCCTGGTATCAAGACGCATAATATTGAATTCCTGCCTTATGAGTTATAAGAATTATAACCCGGGTACTGGTTATACTTTTTCCTATAGAGAAAGCATATGAATTTGTCCTGAATTGTTTCAATCCTGGAGGAATGTACCTACAAGTGTCCCAGGGTCCCAAACTAATGAGACAAACTCCAATTTCGATCTAACAAGACTACACAAAAGTCGTCCATTTTGATACCAGAATTAGCTCTTAAATTGACGTTTCTATTACTGACACAAAAATAGGTATGTTGCTAGGCAACATTTTTAGTTCCTAGGAGCTAAAGTTGAATTTTAGTTCCTAGGAGCTAAAAAGGGTCTACTGAACGTCATCAAGAATAAACAACATTATGACGGTTGGTTATTTGGGTTGAGACGTATACCTGATTTGTTTCCGATTTCAGCAGATTTGGCATTTCATACCCATGCTGGAGATATAAATACACCTTATTATAGTTAAGTATTGGAATTATAAGCATCTCAGTTAAGTATTTTTGTTCTGATCAGGGAAGATTCAAATACTTGCTTGATCTGTATTTCATTCGTTATTCTCGGGATGGATAACTAGTTTTTGAATAATCACGGCAAGCAATAGTTTTTTTGTCTCAAACAATGATATTGTTTAGCTTCATTTGATTGTCAAGTCAAACACAGTGTAGTATGCCAGTATGGAGAGGAATAAATAATCACTATTATCATTGTTGATATGCTCACTAACCTAACATTTTCCACGTCTTGTTCCTATAGCTGGCACTGGCGCGGTATTTGCCATTAGAGCACCTGGTCCATACACAAATATGTCACTCTGTGGTTGTATTTATATTGAAACTACAATTCGAACATCCTAGAAAACCTAATCTGCTGTTAATGCAGGTAGAATATTCTCACCACATTGATTATTTGTCAATATTTGTTGCATTGCATACATATGGCACGGCATTGTTGGTTACTTCACATGTTTATTTGAGTTAATTGTTTCGGTTGCAAAAAAAGCATTCATTCGGATCAAAAGTGACTTTGTTCGACTCGCAAATTTTGCTTTCGCTCGGCTTCGCTACACGTTCCGCCTCGCAAATGCAAAATTCGCTTGTCAAACAAAGTGTCACTTTTGATCCTAATAAAACAATCTACTATTTCTCGTATGGTGTGTGAATTCGGTACTCACCCTCATTAGGACACCCAGTGTTCTATAAGCTGATTTCACCATTCGGTCTATATGTTCTCCAAAATTCAGAATTAAAAACTCTGTATGTGAATTTTTCTCAATACCTTGGTGTATATATAACTATTAACACATGATTATGTATAAAATAGTCTCCAAAAATTCACATTATTAATATCCCATGCATTTGAAGATCATTCATTTCAAATACTTTTCTAAATATTTTCCAATATTTTTACTTATTTTCACAGTCACATAAAAGAATATAAGCAGAAATTCATCATGACAAAAACGAGCATTCCTTGCATTCCATCAGAATCTAGTCACATCAAAGCAATTGTTTATTTTCCTTTTACACGTTTCATTTATTTGGATTGTGTTCGTTTCATTATAGATCCACATCTCTGTGTGACGGACCTGCATATTTCCGAAATCATGAAAAATTCGACCGAGGACGAAGTCATATCAGCCGCCGCCATATATGACAGCTACTTGGAGGAAGATTACGTAGTCATGGGCCTCTACGTAGTCGTTTTTCTTTTGGCATTTACCGCCAACATCGGTGTCATAATCGTCGTCTTCAAAGATAATTATATGAGGAGGTGAGTGGCTAGCTATATCTTATTTTTTCGTCGAAAAATCACATTTTACGTTCTAATTTCCGAAGGAAAGACCGACCATATCCGAAAGCAAGTACTTTTCGTCCGCAGATACATTTTTCAGTAGATATCCAGATTTGCATATACATCTACTGATCTACTGGAACATTTTATAACCTACTGAAAAATATTTTGACACTTATTTATTATTATGAATACCAGTGGCGGCTCCTCAGAGGAGGCAACGGAGGCTGAGCCTTCTCAGAGATTCTCCCTAAACTGACATTATCTATACTTTCTCATTGAAAGGACACCAAAACACATCTCTTCAAGTATTAAGTTCAGGTTAACTGGTAAACAGAATGTCATTAAAGCTATTGATTTGGGTGAGTCGTAGAGAGTTGTTTTTCAAAATAAATCTCATATCATTCAGCCACCTCTGTCATGAAAGTCACGAGCCGCCACTGATAAATACCTATATCATCATTAATCTTTAGTTAATCACATATACTAATAAATTGCATATTTCGGCACGCTCTGTTTACATTAATTTTACAAAATAACTATTAAATGTACATATTATACTACTAACTAATAATATGTATAAACCAGAAAAGGACAATACTTTATTAATTCAGATCATATTCAATTTTGTATATACCTCTGCTATAACGGTTTGTTTCTTTTACGTTTATTTTTTTTATTTGTTTTATATTCTTGTTGTTCATTTTTACTATTCGTTCCTGTTTTCAATATACTCAAATCATATAAGTATTTTGTGATATTTTCGAGTATTTTGCTATAGTATAATTGCGTATCGTCCGCATATTTTCGTGAGTCTGAGTATACAATATAAATAGTAAGGGTCCCAGATTAGAGCCCTGAAGCACCCCACATATGATTGCTGATTCCTCAGATAAAATATTTCCCAGCTTGACAGATTGATGTCTGCCTTGAAATACTATAGAAATTATCTCTGTAACCTGATCAGAACTACGAAAAACGATTAGTATGAATCTAAAATAGTTGAATCTGAAAATAACTATAAAAAAAATCTTGAAGAATATAAATGATATAACCAATGATAATCAACATTATAGTTCACAATTCCACATACTTGATGATAATGGAAGAGAATGTCGTACGGATGAAAAAATAGCGAATGAATTCAATTATTACTT